GCCCGGGGGATAGCATTACCCACCAAATAAGAACCAGAGACCAAGATGGCTGACCAAGCTTGTTCGAAAAGCAATACAGAAGAAGGGGAAATTTTACTTAAAGTTCTGTAGACTACGCAGAGAAAAAGATTATGCCGATTATGTTAAACAGAGAAACATCTCTTCCAACTTGTGTAACGAAGCCAAGAAAAATTATGAGCGAGGTCTTGTTGATGTATTCAAGAGCAACCCGAAGAAGTTTTATGGGTATGTGCGCGCGAAATAGGTCAAAGCTGGAATAACTCGATTAGCCAAAGGAGAAGGTATGTTAGCAGACAACGACCAAGAAGCAGCATCATTACTGAACAACTATTTCAAGTCGGTGTTTGTAACGGAGCCAGTGGGTAACATCCCGAATTTTGTAGATAGAGTGCAACCTGGTACAAGTTGGACAGTATTGAGATTACAGCTGCACAAGTGGAAAAGAAGCTGAGAGAACTGAAGCCAGGCAAGTCACCAGGACCTGATGGAATACACCCGAAACTGCTAAAAGAATGTGCTGATGGACTTGCATTGCCACTCACATTAATATTCCAAAAATCCTTACAGGAACGGACCCTACCAACAAAGTGGAAAAAAGTGCAGGTTTCGCCCATCTTCAAAAAAGGGAGTAGGACTGCTGCTGAGAACTACAGACCAGTTTCACTAACATGTGTGTGTTGTAAAGTCATGGAATCACTATTGTGTGATGAAGTAGTAAAATTCATAGATGAGAACAAATTGTTTACAGATCACCAACATGGATTTACGTCGAGGAGGAGCTGTCTGACTAATCTCCTAGAGACATTTGAGGCTTGGAGTAAGGCCATTGACAATGGTAATTGCATTGACACCATCTTTTTCAACTATCAAAAAGCATTTGAAACGGTTCCGCACATGAGGCTATTGAAGAAATTGAAAGCGTATGGAATAAGAGGAACACTCATAAACTGGATTGAAAGCTTTCTTGTGGGGCGCCAGATGAGGGTGAGCGTTCAAGGACTGTACTCGAAATGGTGCTCAGTAGATAGCGGGGTTCCGGATCGGTCCTAGGACCACTACTGTTTCTGGTACATGTAAACGATATCCCGGACATAGCGATTTGTGATATGAAAATGTTTGCGGATGATACAAAAATGTGTAAATCTATATCGACAACAACGGACAGCATGATGACCTAAATATGATGTGTGAATCGAATTGGCTATTAAAGTTTCACGTCGGGAAGTACAAACAGATGCATTTAGGAGGAAATAACGAACAGTTTGAAACTTTGAGTACTCAATGACCGATGAGGCTGGGACAAGAAGAGTGTTAGATGAGATCACTGAAGAAAAAGACCTTGGGATATGGATAAATAGCGACCTGAAACCCACTCTACAGTGTACCAGAGCAGCGAACAAAGCGATGAAGTACTGAGATCGATCAAGAAAACATTCAAGTACGTAGCTAAAAGGTGTTTCCTTATCGTGTACAAGATGTTCATCGGACCCCACCTAGAGTACCTACTATAAGAAAGATATGGACCTGTTAGAAAAAGTGCAAAGGAGGGCAACCAAGCTAGTCCACTCTATAGAGGGTTCCGCGATTTTTCATATTACCCACAATGTAACGCCGCCGGCCATGACGATTACAGAAACCAGTTCAGGCATGGTACAAGTACATTGAGCAACGCACCTCTGCCCATTTTATTCGCCTATTTAGAAAATCCATCACAACGCCGCTCTCCTGTGGTGTTGTCAACTGCAGCAATCGGTATCAGAGAGAGCCACGCAGCTTTTTTAGGCTGCCTAGCGTTATCACAACACAAGGTAAAGTGACGAGAGACCAGGCGGACCACAGACGCTTGGAGCATTTTCAATAAAAAAGCAATGCTGAATAAACACAAAATGTATTTACTACCAATGTCTTAATGTTTCTCTACTCTCTTTCGCCTAGTATTGCCGATAAGTACCTGTGTAACGACAAAGTTTACGTTACCCATTTCAAAGTAGATTTGTTGTAAGTTGAAAGTGAAAAGGAAAACTCCAAAGTCCAAGCAGTTGTGTTCAGCAAATAGTATTATTGTTTCTCAACCCACATGCGCGCGCACAGAGGCACGCAGCTGCGTGCCTCGCACACTCACGTCCGATCACCTCACAACCAAGAACCTTCCCTTTATACATTTCTAGCTAACAAAGAAAGTTGTGCGCACCCGGACAACCACACCCGTTGCCCACATGCACAACACTTCCCTCTCAACCGTTTCGCATCTCCATCATCCATACTATATCAGACGCACTGCTGCCGCCTAACGCATTATGCAACCACCGTCGCGACATTTCTAAACAACTACTATTTCTACCATCTGCAAACCACACTTTACACCTGTAAATGCCGGTCAAATGCTTCTCTGCAACACACAGGTACACCGCGTGCACGGCGCACGCCGCTACACATTTACACTTATATACATATATCGCCGGCATCCAGTAGGCAGCTGTTTGAGTGGGGGTGGTAATTTCTCTTGCACGTGCAGCATACAGTGATACACTACATAAAATACCACCGAGGCAACATGTATTGAACAGAATTCACCAAGCTCGGCTTTACAATTACAGTGTGCTGACATGATGCCTGTCCCATATTTTCTCATCGTGACCCATGCACGGATAGAGAGATGGTATAATCAGAGACTGGGAGTGCATAACACGTGCTCGGATAACGTAGATGGGACTCTCAATCTCACTGTTCACATGATAGGTGTAGACTGATACACCACTAACCCAACTGCAGAACAGTCGATTGTAGGCATCCAGGCTTTTGTGGTTCTGAAACTCCTTGAGATTATAAAATGGTCTCGGCTAGAATGTTAGGTAGTCAATTCATGATATCCAAATAAGTACGTGATGGGCACAAGTTGTGGTCCTAGCTCCATTCTTGTATGGGTGTCGATTCCCAATGCACGCAATTTCCTCGAGATAGCGTACTTTGGCTACGTTGTATAGTGAATCAAAGTACTTGTCCATATACTACGTACACTTCAGACAGTTGGCAAATGTGCATACACCAGATGTTATAAAACGCTGCGTTTGATAGCTATATGCAGTAAAATTGGTGAAATTTCTGAACACTCGCGATGTAAGCAAACTCAAGTCCATGAACATATGTGTTGCGTGCAATCTCGCGACGCTAATAAACCTGCATGCATTGAACGCTAGTGGAGCACCCCAACCTACGCTGATAAACCTGCCTGCAACACCCTGTAAAACCGGGTCTGCACAATCATATCGAATTCTAGCACCTCAACACGCGCTGGTAAACCTGTCTGCAAAACCGGGATCCACTTACTACTAATATAGATTACTATAATAACACTATGGTATGTACAATCTATCGATGTAAAATTGGTAGATTGCGCATATCGGTAACACATGTTCGCTCTTTTTGGAACCGATATGGCCGGCGGCACGGGATTGTAGGTAATATTGCTATTTTTAGTCGCGGAACCCTCTATACTGCAGAGTGCAGTACTACTGAGTAACTTGCATATCTTGTACTAGTATTAATAATCTATTCTAGCATTATATTTACTAGGCGAAAGAGAGTAGACTGTAGAGTCTAATCGAGCACTTCTTGTAACACAGAAAAGGTGAAGAGGCTGATCATCACATTATCATGGCAACAAGACTAATGCGGGCCGTACAAATTGCGAAATTTGGAGGACCAGAATTGATGCAAGTTGTCAACATACCAGTGCCAAAACCAGCAGAAAGTCAGGTGTGTCCAAGATTGATCAACCGCCATTCACACGTGTGTGTGTGCGCACGCACGTGCGTGCATGCCTGTGTGCATGCGTGTGTGTTTGTGCATGCATGCGTGCGTGTGTGCGTGTGTGTGTTTGTATAACTGCTTTATATAATTGCCGTCATGGTTAAATCGATGTTTTTAAATAAGCAGTGTTTGGATGTTTGCTAGGCTTCATCATGTTTAATGTGCTAATAAGTAGGTGCAAAATTGAGGAATGTCGATCAACAGATCTAGAGGACAGTGTCAGGAATTATAGGTAGTATTGAGCAGGATAAGCTTAGTTTCATAAGCACAAACTAAACTATAGAGGTGTATACGTGGCCCTATTAAATTGACTACGTCCCGAATTTTCTATGGTAAAATTTGTAAAATTTTTGTTGCCATATTTAGCTCACCTTGACATCGTCAAGTTGAGCTATTGCTATGGGTCGTCGTCCGTCGCACGTCCGTCCGTCCCCGTCCGTCCGTCCCCGTCCGTCCGTCCGTCCGTCAACATTTGGTTTCGGTCAACGATAACTCAGGAACCGTTTGACCCACATGTCTGAAATTGGGTATAGTTGTTACTGCTATGCTCCCATATTAAACATCCTATTTTGAAGTACGCCAGTCGACGTACTTTCGAGCCACGGCAATTTTTTTGCAAAAATGGGAATTGCCATTAGTCAGTTCAGGTTCAACGGATTTTGCTCATTTTTGGTATGTGAATGAATAAGGGCTAGGGGTTTTGATATTTAAAAAAAAATTATACAAATTAGGTAGGGTTTGGCAATTATATAGCATATTATATAGACACAAACAGTCTGTGGTGTCACACTCGTCTGGTTCGTTTTACAAGATTTCATTGACAATATCTTTAATGCAAAATTGGTATTTCCTCTCCACTCTGCCGATAAAACGTCTATATTAGAGTAAAGATTTACAAACCATGTCGGAACGCAGCATAACCTATTTATTTCAAGCGCCATCGCTACAAAGCGGGTATAGCGCCATCTACGGTCAAAAATTGTGATTTATTTTGGTTTATAAATTATTATTGCGATATACAGATGGCAATCGTTTCTATAATGTACGTCGCTGGTTGCTCAATTAAAACTGACTTCTTCTTACTCACTCATTTGTGTCCTTTTTTGTGGTGAGCTACAGTGTCATTGACACTTTCATTTTACATTAAAAGTAAGAACTAATGGGATTAAACGTATCGTCAAATTCTTACCTGATAAGATTGTTTCTCAGCTAGTTAAAAATCCAAATAACCTGGACGATTTGATATTAGTGTTCCTGACATTAATTGCTTGCTATGGGCTATGTATGCGTCACGAGTGTATGTTCACATCGAACAATATAGTAAAATAAGAAGTATAATGCAGCAATTTATCCATGAAAAGTGAACAGAATTACTTATATTTTGTGAAAAAGTGGAAATGTTTTTTTTATTTTTTACTATTTACGGTGACGTAATTACTTTAAACAGTGTATTGGTGTACAGATTGTTTTAGTACAAAGTAATCACTGGACTGCAATCTTATTTCATGCACAATTGGTTGCTGTTACTCATAGTATCTAAAATACCTTTGTAAGTGAAATTTATCATATTTATTGCCAATCATTATCGTTGCAGCTGCTTCTGAAAATTTTATCAGCTGGGGTGAACCCAGTAGATACATATGTAAGAAGTGGAAACATTAGCAAACTTCCTGACCTTCCATTCACTATTGGGAAAGATGGAGCGGGAATAGTGGAAGAGGTCGGCGAGGGTGTGAATGGGTTTAAGGTGGGTCTAAATTCATAAGAAATTTAAATGAAGAATATGTAGGGCAATTTTAATTTCCTCGTATTTTAGCATTGTGTTTACAAATTTATATATTTACCTACTTGTACGCTTAACTGTTCCAGTATATTCAGAGCAAAGAATACTATATTGTAACATTTACTTGTGCTCATAGGGTCTATGTCCCCCAGGGTACTGCCGGAACGTACCCTGGGTACGGTCCGGTATACCGGAACGCACCCTGGTAACTATCTGATATGGTTAGGGTTAGGGAGTACTCAGTAGGCATAGGCGACTTTCTAGACTCGTTAGTGGAGTAGGCGAGGTACGGTCCGGCATATTAGATAGTACCAGGGTACGTTCCGGCAGTACCCTGGGGGACATAGACCCTCTCAGCCTTATTAGATAGTACCAGGGTACGTTCCGGCAGTACCCTGGGGGACATAGACCCTCTCAGCTTTACTTGTAGATGGAAGCTCATTGATGAGCCTGTAGAATTCGTTTGTTGAGTAATTAGTTTAGTGTATATTTTTAGAGGAAAATAAATGACTTGGAAAGGCCTTCACATATATTGCTGTCTGTCTATGTTTCATTGGTAACAATGAAGCTATTGTTTATTTGCCGTAGAAAGGAGATCGCGTGTTCTGCACCATGGCAATAACAGGCACCTATGCCGAGTACGCACTCTCTGATGATACACACACCTTTCCACTGTCCCGGAATCTGAGCTATGAAATGGGGGCAGCACTCGGTATCCCGTACTTTACAGCATACAGAGCATTGATGATCAAGTAAGACTGCCATAACTGTTATTATCAGGAGTAAATAATCTCAAAATAGTTTCACACGTATATTTCCACGTTTTTACGCATTTTCCACTTCATCTATTGCCATAAATAAAAACAAGAATTTATTTGACTTTCAGCCTATTTCGTAGCTTTTTTGTCACATCTATATTATAGGTGTATTTTGTTGAGTGATACCAGCAACAAATGCTTCAATCCTTCACATGCGACTCGGAAGGGATTGTAACGTTATGATCTCGCGAGCGAGAAATATCATCAATCACTTATTTCATTAGTTTGCAATGCATCTACAGATTAGTAAGACATGTTTGCCTGCAAACACAGTGCGATTGTGTACGTACGGCCTTTGATTACTTGCATGTACCTACTACATGTTTAGGGCACTGGGCGTCGCACATCCCTGCTGAGTCGCATATGGAGGACAGGAGCAGTTGTCGCTAGTATCGCTACTCAAAGTTAAATATGTCCACATAGATGTCAAAACATGCAGGAAGCCTCTGAATCAACACCATGTTTGAATACAATTTACAGCAATATGACAGTAAATAGCTATAAACTGATTTCAATACAGGCTAGCCGATCGATAAAGGTACAAAATAAACTCAAGAACATTTTTGTTTTTATTTATTCAAAAATTTGAAGTGGAAAATGGATACAAACACAGGAATATTCATTTCACACTTCTTTGAGATTATTTACTCCTGTTATTATTTTTCTTCTTATATTTATAGATGAATCCTACAATTTCAATAATGGTGGGTAGATTACAGTTTGAATGTTTGTTTTAAATAAGGTTAGCCTTGCGCTACCATAAAGTGCTACTACAATCATATTTATGTATAACATAGCAATCTATATTCTATAACTAACTTTATTTTGCGCATCCTAAGAATTTTTAGCTCATCTGACATAGTCAGATGCAGCTTGTAGAATCGCATGATCGTCCGTCCGTTCGTCCGAGCGTCCGTCCCCAACTGTTGACGGACGGACGGACTTGACCTTTGATCTGTGACCTCCAATTTCGGCACAGTGATGGCTTTTCCTACCATGATGCTATACACCGACTATCACGAGCCTAGGTCGAGCCGTTTAGATTTGTGCCGCAATTCTGCATTTCCTCCCTATACCTTAAGTTAAGGAGTGAATGTTCCCCCTTCTTTTACACCTCTTGACCTTTGACCGTTGACCCCCAGCTTCGACATCCCAACTCGTTTTAGGATTACCCCCCCACGTCCCGAATATCGTGACCGTACGTCGAGCGGTTAAGATTTGTGCTGTGCCCAGGGCAGATTTTAGACAGTCAGACCATGTCCTCAGAAAACAATCGCTCCAAAAACTTT